TACTGTCCTCTTCTTCATCTCCTCCTTCGCCTTCCTCTCCTCCTTTCATTCGCCTCCTTCTTCCCCTCGTGTTACCCTTGTCATGGTCAGTTTTCCTATCCCACTGCAACACCACCACCACCATCACCAACTTGCCTCATTGTGACCCCTGAAGAGAGGAATTGGGTTTGGGTGTGTGTGAATGCTGGTGCCAGCAATGAGAATGACGAGACGTGAGATCCATTCTTGCACCTCCTTTACCTCATCGTCTTGCGACTGCGCGTAATGCCACTGAAGTGAGTTGAATGCGTGTTGAAGGTGTGCTGCTCAATGGAGAGGCGGTGCAGAGCAACGCCACTTGCTACGACGCTCGCTGTGCTGCCCACCAAGACTCGCCACGCTCACCTTGCGTGCGAGTTTCCCAATGCCTTCATCCGAGTGCTGCAAGTTGGCGTTTGTAATGGAGGTGGTGGCGGCACCGCGACTGTCACCGGTGGCGTCAAGCATGTCACTGTTCTGGACTGCGCACCGTCGTAGCTACGAGTAATCAATTGCGATGTCTTATCACCACTTCCACCGCCACCTCGATGTCACCACCACGCACGTGTGTCAAGCGAGGAAGAGTAGTTCGCTCGCCTCGTGAACTAGTCTTGAGCCTCCACCTCTACTGACGAGACACGACGCTGGGAGTTGGCGGCTCACAGAGCCACTGACGTAGTGCATTTCACGCACTGCACCACATGAACGGATGCATCAGGTCTGCGTGCAACTCGGATGCAGCCTGCATTGACGCAATCCAATGACAACAACTTGATTTGCCAGGAACGAGCACTCTCTTGTTGCATCCGTGTCGTCACCGGCTTCTGCTACTGCGTCATGCGGCAGCCATCGATGTGTTGGGAACAGCTTGGAGGGTGTGTGGACAGCACGAGTTTACGGAGGTGCACACCACTCCGACATGTGTGTGTATGTGTGCGACATAACGACGTATGCATCTTCACCCAACTCTCGTTCTACTTCGTGTCACTGTGGCGACAGTGTGGTGTGCTACTCACTTTGCAGAGTGCTCCTCAAATGCCACCAATCTATGCTAGCCTTGCTCTCATCTCTCCCCTCACTGCAATGCGAAGTTGAAGGCATTTCACGATAGAGTGTAGGCCTTGGCCTCCCCTTGGCATGAGTGTGTGGTTGCAGGATCGCCACCATCTGTAAGTGTGTGGCGATGGAGGTGAAGAGTCTACACGGCAACTCTCGAGTGCTCCACACACGAGTCTTGTCCTCCTTCACTCTAGTTGCGAGCCTTTCGTGAGTGGTGGGTGGAAGCTCAAAGCATCGAGGTGACAGATGTTGCGAGTGTCGGCTGTTTATGGGGTCGCATATGACATGTGTTGAAGGAGGACAGGCCATCATGTGGCGTGCGGATGTGCATGTGTGTGAAGCGTGAGAGGAGGACCAACAAGACTGTCCAGATGATGCCTTTCATTCCGACCTGCACTGTGCTGTTGCTTAGTGAGCCAGTGTGTGTGTTGTTGTAGGTGTGGAGTTGGGTGCAGTTGTAAGGTGGAGACATGAAACAAATGTCCCAAATATGTGTTGCGTGGTGCTACTGAAGTGCCGATTAAAGTAGCATGTTTAAGGAAAGGGAAATAGTTGGGAGCCGTTTGCATGGTGTTGGATGTGGTCCTGCAGAGTGTTGCACAATAGCAAGACTTGACCTCTTGAGAGGTGTAAGACCATGAGACAGGCGAATGAGGACGTGCTCATAGCTAACACCCTATATAATGGAACACTTAATTCTACTGAAATACTTATTGAAGTAGTATGCTTTTAAACATTTCATTGCACTGCAATTTGTGCAAATTTTTTGCAATGTTAATGCTATTTTTAGCGAATTTGTGCAACTTTTGAATATCATTATATTGTTTCGTTTCGAATACTCACCGCGAAATTTGGATGTTCGTAGCTGTCACTGTCAATGAGTAGAAGACTTGTCTGTTGTCCGTCAACATCCACTGTGATTGTTTCAAGCACATTCCCGCGATTAGCTGCATGGAGCAAGCATAAAATAATGTTGGTTACCAAAAGTGAGTGTGTCAAATTGACTTCTTGTGAGTATCAAAGTTGCCTGAAAATTTTCAAGCATAGTTTGGAAAGTTGTTTAAATCAGTGCACGATTATTGTAATTCTTGCAGACGTAGTGAGCTAGGTACTGTTGAGTGTGGAAGAAATTGAAAATTGAGTCTTTTTAACACCTAACAACTCTTCTTCTTTCCTGCATCTGATGGGTGCGTGCTTTATTTTGCGTCGGATTTGCAGCGGTGGATGCACTCTCGAGTGAAACACCCAATCCTCTGCTCAAAGCTTTGCAAAGCCCAAGGCCTCTGACGTCTAAAGCCACGAGAAGGTCGGTTACTGAACTTTTAGTGGATGAAAGAGTTTTGAGTCGACTTTGTGAGCTTTTACTCTCGATTACTGCCAATCATCAGATCTACACGACTGTGGATGGTGGAACCCCTCGAGGATCACGAAGATGGGATGGCAAAACGTCTAAACTTAATGAGGTAGAGTCGAAGGCGCTGTAACAGACCGCGCTCTCAGGCCCACCTGATCAGGCTCCAAGAAAGATGTGAACGTACGGAAGGGATTGAAATGCAAAAAGCTTATGAAAGGAGAAGTCACCTCACACCTGCATTTACTCCTACAATTTCACAATCGTTTCCCTTATTGTGCTTTTCATCGTGTTCTTATATTTGAGAGACATTCATGATTAGTTTGAGCGGTGCGCCCATTAATGATGCATTAAACTTTCACCTGATGTGTCTGCTTTTAGACGTGAACAAATCGGGAGCAAAAAATAGGAAAGCTTTTTTAAGGCTAAAACAAGGAAGATAAGATGAGAGGTTAAATTTGCCTAACCGGATCAGACTGGGACTGGAATGCTTCTTGTAGCCTGGAAAAGGTTTCACTGCCTCAAAAATTCCTCTTTTTAACTTCTGCGGAATTACAAGTCTAAAAGGTAACCCCACAGAATTCCAGTGCCTTTACAGAGCAATCTGAAGTAACATTTGTGCAAGACTGGATGTGGCAATTTAAACTTATCTAACTCAGAGTCAAATATTGGGGCCTAGAACGCCACGCAGAGGCGGTAAAGTTGAGGCGACCTGCCTAGGCTTTGTTAGAAAAAGGTGGCAGTAGAGATAACAACCGTCAATCACTACCACGACTTTAACAATTTTAGGGGGAAGTGGGAAATCCACCTTCTGACACGTGAGTCACCGTTGAGAGAAGACTGGTAGGACATCTAACCACCTACTCGTAAACAAAATTGGGTTGCAGTAAACGAATGAAAAAAGTATAAGTCAAATTTTGGAGCTCACGTTTTTGGCTTTTTCATTTGAATGTTAACACGATAAGTTGCATTACGGACTTCCTGTTTATGAAGTCAAAAAACTGACATGTAAACCTTTTTCCTCATTATTTTCGTTCACACAAACTTTGCCTTTTTACTGCCAAAATGATAATTTCTTAAAATATTTTACGAATGATACAACTTGGTTTGTCGACCTTCTTTTCTTATAAGAGATTTGGATGTACTTGTCAGCCACAACCTTAAAATTTCTGTATTTTTAGAGCAGCTTCAAGAAAATGGAGTCGAAAAAAAGGCCAAATTGGTAAAATCGAGGAATTGTTAACTAAAATTCGCCTAAATTGGTGGCAAGCCAGTCTAATATAAAAATGCATCGTCTATTAAGCAATCTTTTGCCAAAACAAAACTTGATCCGTAATGACAATCTCACTACGGTAAGTAAAAAAGCAGCTTTTCGGCTGGCCACTTTGCGGAACAATCCGCTACAGGGGACAAAAGGTAGGAGAGATATAGTTCGTTCAAATTAATTAAATGCCGAATGCTCTCGCCACCGAGATCAGCGTCCACGTTATGACAGAGAGATGGTGGGCTAAAAATATATTGTGGCCTTTTCTCGTAAAAAAATTTTATTAACAAATAACTTGTTAGGCAGCTAAACAATGAAATTGAAAACTATTTTTAACCAAGACATAAACACAAGACCTATCCCTCGTCTGTTATACTCCCGATTTCCCAGATATCAGAGGAAATCTGCCTATCTCAATCGTGTGAGCAATGTACAAAAGTCCAAAGGCCATAAATTCCACAGCTTCCAATCCAAGGACTAAAAATTGAATGCCTCAACAACTTTCAGAAAAAACTCTGAGTAAACTTAAAAGTTTTTGTCTTAAAACCACTTCTCGTTAGGTTAGAGGAAGGCATGCAAACCAAATAGAAGAAGTTCGTGCGAAATTTAGCATTGCAAGCATACAAAATCTGTTACAAAATATCCACAACCTAACCAAGGAGACAAAACATTCTATCCAAACTTAGCCCACGATGTCGCGTACGCCTTTAGTATTGACCATCAAAAAGAAGGGTCGAATATATGACTTGCTGATATAAAATTTACCAAAAAGACCAAGAAAAGTTGTTGGATCAATTTAATCCCAGGTTAAAAAATTCAACATTGTGCATCAAACTCCCCAAATTCTTGAATTCTCAAAAGTACGCATCGCTCAAGGTAGTTATGTAATTAATAAACATGCATTCTATGCATATAAACAAAGTGGAAAATAGCTGGCCTAATTAATATATAAGAGAATTATGATTGTATCAACGAAAGTATAGGTGCACACGACTAGAAGCATCAGGTAATGCAAATTTTTTTTTCCTCTTGCATATATAATTTGGCTCTAACAAAAACCCCAGCATTTACTATGACTAAAAAATTGTGGCACAACGAGGTCAATAGACTCACATCAAACTGGCCATACAATATCGAATAAGCTTTGCGAACCCATTAGAAACAAACAAGCAGGGAAGACAAGCATTAGAATCGTCGGAAATGCATGACTGTCCTAGCAAACCATCTAACCGGAAATGACGTTAGTTCGCATATCTGTGCCTGTTAAATAAAGAGCCCTAAAAAGTTAGTTTTTGTGTGGCTTACTTTGAATTTGACAATGGTGGAGACGTAGACAAATTAATTAAAGTTGACTTTTCCACACTGCCTTACTTACCTAGGCGTTTGGATAAAAGTGGTCTTAAACTACAAAAGGTTGAAAAGGAAAACAAACCCACCCAAAGACGAAGTAAACAACCCATCTCGTAGTTCAGCACCGATTTAGCTTGCAAGAGGGCTAAGTTGATAAATAACAAAAATCCAGTATCATTCCCCTTATGAGCTTTATCGTCGAGTTCAGAAATATCAACAATAAAAGACACTCAAAATCAACAGCAGATGTTTGACGTTAAGCTTATCATGCCGTGACACTTTATAAGGAGTCTAGATTTTAAGCGTTCGTTGAATGTGGATCCTTTGACTGGTCATGCAACTACTTGCCTCGATTCTTTAGCCTCAGTCTGGTAGTTGGACACTTTAACTTATCACGAAGCATCATGAAGGGGCAAAGCTGACCTCACACCTACATCAGATCAATGTTAATTTAATATATTTTTAGTCAATTCATCCAATTTTATTTTACATTATTGGTTTTTTTGGGATTTTGAAGAAAAGATGAATTAACCTACCTGTGTCATATCCTGCTTCCAGGGACTCTGAGGTGAGAAATTGGGTGCACATTGTGGTTTTGCCTACTTGGTCAGCTCCCAACACCTGAACCTTGTAGGTTTCGGTCGCATGGCCCAGGAGTCCATTTATGACCACCGAACCCTCAGGAGCAGCAAGCTTGTTGATGTTGGTTACATTCGTTGCGCTGTTAGTAATGCTGCTGCCCAACCAGGAGTTGTCTGTGAAGGATCGCCTTCGAATCGACCTTGCCGTCTCGCATCGATCAGAGAGTTTTAGCTCCCCAGATGGAGCCTTTAAACTTCTTGTCTTACTTGTCTTCCGAATTGGTGTTGGAACTTCCTGCGAAAGGCGTCGTTTCTTCTCTGTTTCGTCTACAACCCCCGTCTTTGTGCGTCTGAAGGAACGTACTCGGACTACGTTCGTTCCACGGCGGCCAGGTGAGTCAACTTCATGGTAGACGTTAATCGGAGGAGGACAAACACCTCCAGAGCTGCCGTTTCGTGGTGGAGGAGAGATCTGTTGTATTGGTGTAAAGGTGCGCATCGGGTTAGAGCGATCATCAGATATGTCTTCGCTGGGATAGTGAGGGGATGCACGAGGGCGCAAATTCTGAATACTGGGTGCAAGTGAATGTCGGCGTAGATTATATGCAGATTCGCCTTGAACATTAAAATCATCAGTAGTTGTAGTTCTTGCAAATCTCCCACGTGTTGCAGCACCGTCATAACGATGATGCAATCGGTGTCGTGTCTCACGAAGACTGCCAGCACGGTGTCGGCATAGGTCCGTGGGAGCAGCAAGAAAGTCTCGATTAATGGGTCGAATCGGTGAGTACTCACTCCCCGTGCCCATTCCAATGCGGCAAAATCGATCAAAGTCATCTTCATACTCCTCCACCATTTTGTTCTGTCGAGAGCACTGCAAATCTCTCCCGATGCAGAAGTTCGCGCAAATGTCGACCATCCCACCGTAAGTAGGAGCGTGAGGATAATTTCTCTCTCAATCAACCAATCACAGGCTTGCTTTGCACTGATTGGTTGATTGTTTAAGGCATTTGCCCACTTGATGTTTTTCCATGCAAAAATTGTAAATTAGGATATCGAAACAAATCCTCCTGCAGATGAAGGGTTCATTTTCATCCCCAAAGTGACACACCTTGCATTCGGCTCCACGCCTCACGAGTTGGTGGGAGGCAGTTGACTCTATTTTGGAGCGACTTGATTCACTGAAGTCGATGTAAAAAATCTCGGCTAAGATGGATAAATTGCGAATGAATATGAAGTCGGACACACGAAAGTCTATTCTTTACAATATGCTGTGGAGAACTTCGACCTACTAGTTTAGAGGGAATACTCATTTAGCTCAGTGTTTTTTGGTATTGGTAAAGTGATAAACGAATGCGACCTTGAATTAGCTTTACTACAAAGTAATTTAACTTCCGGTGATCAGGACTAAACTTTTGTCCAAATGTTAACGATTAATTTGGATGTTGAAGTCAACATGCTTCACAGCGTGAGGTCCACAGCTTTCCATCAACGCTTAAGAAGTGTCTTTTCATGCAGAGCCAATGAGTAACGGAAGATCCCGTTTTTAGAAGAGAAGGAAGAAGGGGAATGGAAAATTGTTTGTGAGCCAGCAAAGGACCGAGAACTCTCGTTCTCGTTAAAGGCACCAATCGCCAATTGGGAAGGGAGTTTTGTCCATCTGGTAACACTAAACTTTAGACGACTTACTTTTGACATGTTGATTTGTTGACGCTGTCCAATTGAGCCACGACAGTTTGTTAAAAGTTGGCAAGCAAATGTGCCTTGTACTGACATGTAACCAACAGTGAAAATGAAAAGGCAAGTCCTTGAGTCCGTACGTACGCACGCATATCATACGAGATATTTTGCAGGAGAAGAACTTTTTATGGGAACTGACATCTGCCAATTTATAGCGCAGTGTTTGCTAGACGGATGGACGTATCATTTATCTTCATTTCCCTCCTTGATGGCAATTTTAATGTAATAAATGCCATCTTTGAGATGGTCGCATATTGCAACAATCAGGAAGTAAAAGTGGAAGCGATACAAATTAGTCTACACACCACCCTTATAAATGGCAAAAGTTTTAGGCTTTGGGCTATTTGAAGTTTCGTGCAAAACGTCAAAATACCATCTAATAAACGCGAGAAGCGTAAAATTGTTCTAAATTGCTTATGGCGTCCCATGCTACTTATAAAGTTTAAAAGTAGCGTTGACACATGATTGCACGTTGCTAACTGGATGTGTTGTGTAGGGCCATTCAGGCACTCATTTTGATTTGAGGATGTAAGTTATTGCAATGTGGATGCAATTTTCTGCCACCCATTAGTCGAGTTAGTGGTTAAAATCGCCTCAGAGACAAGCGGTGGACACCATTGTGGGTTGAGATTTGGCAGAGACCTTCAAATCTGCGATCATTAGGGTAGAATGGCGTGTGGTCGGCGGCATTAAACACATCAGTTAATTATATGATAATGCGAGTCTGTCTAGACATGTATATTCATGCCTTATGAGTGAGGCGGGTGTGAAGAGGAGATCACTACGGTAAAGAGGAAAGTCATGTGAAGGAAAAAGGGTCAAAATTTAATAAAATTAGAGCCACAGTGTGATGAGCTCCAAATTCAAAGCTATAGACGGTAAGAAAGGCAGGTGCTTAAGACCTTAGTGTCACCTCTTTATACTCCATTCCTGACGTGCCTGCATGAAGGGACTAACAAGGAAGCAGAGGATTTTATGTGGCGCTGTAAGAGAAAGCCGCAAATTTTTAATCCCAGCATGGTGACTTTGA